TTGACTTCCCACTTCAAACTACCACCACCTCACCCTATGCCATATTCGACTATTTCCACAGTGCTCTTCTTACCTTTTTTTCTACCGTTGTGTTTGTCTCTTACATCTTTGAAACACTCTTCTGTCCCCCCCTCTCGACTTTTATCAATTTGATGTGAAGTCTGAAGTCAACAAAAGGGCTAATGATAACCATCAAGACGCCTGCCACTTGATATAAATAAATACCCAGTTTCCAAAGCCAAAATGAAGACAGAGAGAGGGAGTTATTAGCCTGCTTTGATGATCCAACCGGTGAGGATAAAACCGACTGAGAAGCTTCGGGAATAGTTAGCAATTAGTAGAAGATAAATAAAAGTAAAGCACTAGAAATTCAGATGTTAGGAGACACGAGTAAAATGGAATTCACAATAATTTAGGGGACTCCGAATTAGGAATTGTGCACCAGATCGATCGGCTTGTAATATGATGTAAATACCAAAGGTTAGTATGGAAAATAATGAAGAGTCGTTCAAATATAGCGATTACAGCGAGTAAACGGTATGAAAAGTCGGTTTGAAGGACCTTTTAGAGGATCCATAAAACAGCAAAATGGGTTCACAAAGAAACTCTCACATCGATCTCCGGGTTGCATCTAACTTGTCGGAGGGTAATATTAACTTAATGAAAATGGGGTGATAAATCCAGATCTGATCAAGCCAACAGTAATATAAAAAAATTTCTTTATATTAAAAGCATCGTCATCAACCTCGGTTACCTGTTTTTGTAAGGAAGAAAAAAAAATGTGATGAAATGACAAGACCAGCAACTCAATTAGACATTACCAAAAGCGTCTAGATATTACGAATATGAATTTATCTAGAGAATCAAATCCTGGTGGGTGAACTTCGAAATACATTGATCGTAAAAGCTATCAATAGCCAAAGAAAGTAAGAAATGGCATGGACTCAATCATCTGCTTTTCTTCTAGATCCCCTGCTTGCTGTTTCATGCTTTATTTGGCACGTTAGTCGCTTTTCAGCCCGATGCTTCAACTTAATTAGTAATGCAATAGAGATTAGTAGTAAACCAAGGCCTAAAAACTCGAATGTACATATACAAATTGCATTAAATATTAAATATTAATATGAGCAACTTACACCAGTGTCTGGAGCGCCGGGCCCAAGGGCAGTCATGCTGCCATGATGGGCACTGGAGAGAAGACGCCCATGAGCCTCTGCCATCCGTATGCCCTGCACCACTTGGCCAACCATCATTGCTGACGCTCCAACTAAATGAGCAGCGGTTTGAGTGCGGGGCTGCGGAAGGTTCTGAATGGCTGAGTGTGGACAGAGGAGTAGCATGATGGGATGCAACTGACCTTCGGAGAAGAGACGACGAATCTCGTGGACATGAATTCCACCAAAGGGCGTCTGTGAATAAAAGTTGTTTTTAATTTAGCCTTTTCAATTAAGAAAGTTGAGCAACAATCCAACCGAATAAGTGCTAATTGACTACAGCATAAAGCAACATATTAAAGCCACGATGAAATAAATGGTTATGAAGAGAAGAATTCAGACAAACGTTTAATCAAAATACCTCAAGCTAAAAAAACAAACCAACCTTTAAAGCCTTAAATTCAGAATAATAGGGGGGTGTGGGATAGACTTACCTCCACGTGGTGCACCCTGGGCAACGTATATTCATACGACAAAAAAGTCAACTAAAGGGCTAATGATAGCCATCAAGACGCCTGCCATTTGGTATAAACAAATATAAAGTACAGAATAATCAAATTTCAAAATTTATTACGTTCATTTATTGTGACAATGATAGCGCTCTCTACCTCACTCGTAATGGAGATAAAAATTTAAAAAAAAACAGTAAAATGAAATGGACCTAATAATAATCACAAAAAAGAATGATCTTGAAACAACGCAGACAAAATGTACGGGGGGGGGGTNTCAATCTGCCATATGTATATCTATGAATAGGGGTGTGCGATAGACTTATCTCCACGTGGTACACTCTGGGCAACGTATACTCATACGGCAAAAAAAGTCTACTGACCGGCAGTTGACTTCTCACTTCAAACTACCACCACCTCACTCTATGCCATATTCGGCTATTTTCACAGTACTCACCTCACCTTTGTTCTACCTTTGTGTTCGTCTCTTACATCTTTGAAACACTCTTCTGTTCCCCCCCCCCTCTCGACTTTTTTCAACTTGATGTTCCTTCTCCTCTGTGAAGCCTGTAGTCAACTAATGGGCTAATGATAACCATCAAGACGCCTGCCGTTTGATATAAATAAATATCTATGAATAGGTCATCAAATACATTTTCTTAATCGAATCAAAACTTTGAAATTCGTTTAAAATTCTATTTTTAAAAAACTAAGGTCTATATTTTTATGACCGATTGACTACTAGATAAGTAATAACCTATTTAAAATTTATTACATATGTCTCTCGAGTTTTCAAATTATTAAAATAACTAATTACTTTATTAAGGAATTTAAATATTAACAGATGTTATGCAAGAAGAAAACTATCTGCAGATTTCATTTTGAAGAAAGCCAACTTCATTATCTCAGTATGCGAACTTTATGAGCGATTAAAAATAGGTTCAAAAGATTCTATTTTGAAAAGCTAACCTCGCATCGATAAGTCAAACCTTCGATGTGATAGTTCACCAGTAATCAAGTAATTCGATGACGTTAAAGCCCTTCTTCTAGTGGGGTTATTAAAAACACCCTAGGTGTATCAATTTTTTGCTATCAAAAAATCACAACTTTGCTTTTAGTGGCAGTGGGAATACTTCTGCAAAAGCAATGACTTCACTATAATTTGACTTACGTCAGCTATTAAAGTTGAGCACGGCTCCATAGGGAGAATACTTTCAATTGAAGAAAATTCCCATGGTTCCAAATCTGATTGAAAGGTACTTGGCTCGTTAATTCTATATGTTGATGATCTCGACCGTCTACGTGCAACAGTAAAGCTCCATTCATGAAGTGGAGAGGCGAGGATGTTAGCGGAGGACCGACCGACAAACTCGGGAGTTCGGAAGTAGCTGGGGAGATTCAGAATCGAGGAACTGCGTTCCGGGTCCGCTTGTGCAATATTCAATCTGAATTGATAGCTTGAGGATATGGTCGGGGAATTACCACCTAGTACATTTGTGTTGACTTGAAAATGAAGCGATCCCGAGAGGTCAGCTATATGATTTTCAATCTCTTGCATTCGAACACTGTCATGGGTAAAATTGGCAGGCAAAGGAGTTGAATTTTCTCTTGGACTACTCCTTTTAATACCCAAAAATTGGAGAAAAGAATGAGAACGCGATTTCGAAGCCGCCAAAGGAGCTTCTGTCGAGGGATTTTTTAAAGACTTGACAGTTTTACCTAATAATAAATAGAGAATATAATACAATATTACTGTGTATTTCTGAAATGCTCACCAAAATATTGTAAATATTTTCATACAAAACTTAAAGACGTTAGGATTAAAAGATGTTAAATTGGCTTTAGTAATGAATTGTTGAATGAGGGTGGTGTTCTTTAGCTTTCAGTTAAAATGAAAAGTAGAATAAGCGTAATGAAAACTAAACGTACCACCAGTTTTCTTGACTAGTTCTTCGTATTCCTTCAGTAATGTGCGAATCTATGATTGTTAAATATTCAAAAAAAGGCTGCATAATTTCAAATATATTGAAAAATATTAAAATTGCCAAATCTGACGTAACTCAAACTTAAATTGAGGCCATCGAGTGTGAGAAAATTATTGAAAACTCATTAAACAATTAAATAATCAAAAAAAGTTGTTTTGACTTTTAATTTATAAATTTCTCTGGCAAACAATTTTACCGTATCTGATTTCCAACGAAGTGCTATGTAGCGGCGTCGCTGAAAAACAATAAATAAAAAATAAACAGAAACTTCAATTAGGATGGAAAGCAATTAAATTGCATACCATTTGATCATACTGAGGATCGTTTTGTGTGCAATTCTCATTCGCCGTCATACAATTTCTGAAAATTAAATTTTTTATTAAGAATAGTTAAAAAGAAACGTGAAACTATTTGCATTAAAAGTAATAATAATCAAATCTTACCCTAAAGCAGTAAGAAGTTTGTTCACAAAACTGACGAAGTTTCTTGAATCTTTAACTGAAAAATGATCGACTTTGCCGACTGATTGAGCTTCATCTGACTGTAAAATTATTTTAATTGACTCTGAAACTTTTTCTCCAACACTGCGTGAGCGAAAGTGCGAAGGATGTCTACTCCACTTATCTTTTGAGAATGAATCACTTTGGTCGCATGTTGATATTGCTTTCGAATTTAGAGACTGATAAAGATTGATAACAAAATATAGTTAAAAATTAAAAGCAGTAAATGCAAACCGAAAACATATGAATACAAAAGTTTAAGATAAAGCAACAAAAGACTTGTAAACATCTCAATATAGTTTGGTAAGTGTTGGCCAATGTAAAAACATGTAATATATGAATTTTATTGAACAGTGTAACACATGAGCTGCAAAAAATATAAAAATAAGCACAACATAAAAAATTAATAAAAATAAATCAAGCATATACTTTGTTATAGCTATTAATTTTGTAATAATTATTGTGTAAGAGGATATTGAATTTATAAAAAATGAATTACATTAATTCCAGAATCGCAAAGAGCACTTGAATAAACCTGTTGCATTTTATTTGTATTTACAGGTTTGTAGAATTGTGACCACTGTGAAGATGTAATATTAGCAACTGAGTTGCTCTTCTTGTTGTTCATAATTGGCAAGACCTATTTAGGTTAAATGAAACATTTGAACTACCGCTGACGCTAACAATCATAATAACAAAATTATAACAATAATATTTTACGTATTCTTTGTCTTAACTTTTAAATATTATTTAAAAAATTAAAATTAAACTGATCAATTAAAATTGTTTGGGAAATATTGCATGTATACGCAATACGCATATTGTCATCGCAATTGCACACATATTTACTGATAATTGGTATTTTCGATCATAAATATAGAAAGTTATTTCATTACTTAGGGTATGCATTGATTTCTTAATGGCCGTGCCTCAATTTTGCTGAATTTAAGAGATAAAACTCTAATCACTGGGCAACGTATACTCATACGGCAAAAAAGTCTATTAAATGGCTTGGAAACGTGACCCATACGGCTACCTCCACGTGGTGCACCCTGGGCAACGTGTACTTACAACCTCCATGTGGTGCACCCTGGGCAACGTATACTTATGCGGAAAAAAGTCTATTGACTGGTAGTTGACTTCTCACTTCAAACTACCATCACCCCACTGTATAGTTGACCACTGACTTCAAACTACCATGACCCCACTGTATGCCTTGACTTCTGACTTCAAACTACCATGACCCCACTGTATGTTACAAAGTATACTCATACGGCAAAAAGTCTATAAACCGGCAGTGGACTTCTGACTTCAAACTACCCTCACCCCACTATATGTCACAACTTCTCACTTCAAACTACCATCACCCCACTGTATGTCATTGTGTATGCGCATACGGCAAAAAAGTCTATAAACCGGCAGTTGATCTAACCCTAACACGGCAAAAAGTCTATAAACCGGCAGTTGACCTCTGACTTCAAACTACCATGACCCCACTGTATGTCATATTTGGGCAACAGACCTCATACGGCAAAAAGTCTATAAACCGCTGGGCAACGTATACTCATACGGCAAAAAAGTCTATTAAAGGCAGTTGACTTCTAACTTCAAACTACCATGACCCCATTGTGGCAGTTGACTTCTCACTTCAAACTACCATCACCCCATTGACGGGCAACGTATACTCATACGGCAAACAAGTCTATAAACCAATGGGCAACGTATACTCAAACGGCATACCTCCACGTGGTGCACCCTGGGCAACGTGTACTTACAACCTCCATGTGGTGCACCCTGGGCAACGTATACTTATGCGGAAAAAAGTCTATTGACTGGTACTTCAAACTGCCCACGTGGTGCACCCTGGGCAACGTATATTCATACGGCAAAAACGTGGTGCACCCTGGGCAACGCATACTCATACGGCAAAATGTGGTGCACCCTGGGCAACGTATACTCATAAGGCAAAAAGATCCCTATTAACCGGCAGTTGACTTCTGACTTCAAACTACCATAATTAACCGGCAGTTGACTTCTGACTTCAAACTACCATGGCACGACTTCTTGTCATATTCGACCGCTTCCACAGTACTCATCTTACCCGTTTCTCTGCCTTTGTGTCTGTCTGCCTCTTTTACGTCTGTGAATCGTTCTTCTGTTCCCCACCCCTCGACTTTCTGCTATGAATCGCTCTTCTGTTCCCCACCCCTCGACTTTCTGCTATTTATCGCTCTTCTGTTCCCCACCCCTCGACTTTCTGCTACTTCCTTCTGTTCCCCACCCTTCGACTTTCTGCTACTTTGATGAGCTTCTCTTCCCCACCCCTCGACTTTCTGCTACTCTGATTAATCTTCCCTCTGTACCTCTTTTACATCTGTTAATCGCTCTTCTGTTCCCCACCTCTCGACTTTCTGCTACTTTGATGAACCTTCCCTCTGTGAAGCACGAAGTTCTGCTACTTTGATGAACTTTCCCTCTGTGAAGCCCGAATCATCTGTGAATCACTCTTCTCTTCCCCACCCCTCGACTTTCGGCTACTTTGATGAACCTTCCCCCTGTGAAGCCCGAAGTCAACTAAAGGGCTAATGATAACTACCAATCTCGACTTTTTGCCATTTTGATGTTCCTCCTCCTCTCTATGAAGCCCGAAGTCAATTAAAGGGCTAATGATAGCTATCATAACGCCTGCCATTTGAAATAAATAAATGTTCGATTTTGGTCATCATTCCTTTAGTTGCGAGTGGTGTATTATACGAATAAGCCTATCAACATGGAAATGTATGTTGTTTTAATCGTTTGGTGTTATTGTGCTAGTGGATTGAGATAGTAGCTAAATGATTGTCTTAGGGATTTTAAAGATCAGTTACGATTTGCTGCAGGGAGGAGTTAGTCATCGAGGATTGACTTTAGTAAATGATATGCTAGTCACGAGGAACTCCTATGAATAAAATAATGTATATGACATTATTATTTTTATTTATTGTTTCATAAATGATTTATTAAATAACCCTTTTGATCTGTTCTGAACATCACAGGAAAATGTCAAAACTGGTTGTCGGCCAACTTTAACAACCAAGGAAATTTAAAGATTCGTCTCTAGACTTCCCTTCCCCTAAAACCTGGTCCCTTTCCAATGGGATACTGTGTCTCTACTAAAAACAATTGAAGAAGACACTAATCTTTCTGTTAATACTGGAAAAGCCACCCTCTTGATAAACGCAATGTATTTTTAGGCTATTCAAAGAAAAGTATTCATTTATTTATATCAAATGGCAGGCGTCTTGATGGTTATCATTAGCCCATTAGTTGACTTCAGGCTTCACAAAGGGGAAGGAACATCAAATTGAAAAAAAGTCGAGAGGGGGGGGGGAACAGAAGAGTGTTTCAAAGATGTAAGAGACAAACTCAAAGGTAGAACAAAGGTGAGATGAATACTGTGGAAACAGTCGAATATAGCATAGAGTGAGGTGATGGTAGTTTGAAGTGAGAAGTCAACTGCCAGTTAATAGACTTTTTTGCCGTATGAATATACGTTGCCCAGGGTGCACCGCGTGTAGTTAAGTCTATCTCACACCCCACGAAGAAAAGTATAAAGGCAGTTATTGTGGCCTTAAGTCTTCAATAATATGTACTTTTCTTGTTTATCAGATTTCTTTTGAAGCTATTAAAGTTTGAAGTTACCAACCGCAACGACTTCATCTGAAAGGACTACCAAAGTTGTCACGAACACCATGTATACTGCAGCAATACTATATTAAAAAAATAGTATTTGAATCTAAACCATATCTATTTCACCCCCACCCGTATGAGCTCAGGGTTTGAAAAATTTGAAATCAACTTGAATAATTTATACTCTCCTAAAGGAATTCATCAATTCGCTGAGATAATTTTACTTCACATCCCTACCGATTGTTAATATGAATTTGTTCTGAGGAGCATTTTAAAACCTATTCTGTATTCACGGCATTAACCACCACTCAATCTTTCTTCGCAACTACATTAGCTCTCATGAAACTCTGGTTCTAGGTATGCGAAAGTTTCACAACTCGTACCATGTTAATTGTTTGAATCCGATGAATTGCTCTGATTTAAAAACATTAAATATGATCACTTAGTTTCAATAGACTTTTTTAATTATACTAATTAATATATTTATTTAAATGTTTATTTAATGTTAAATATTGTATTTAACATGTTGTACTGGTAGCTA